GCACCCATGTTTATAGCGGCACAGTTTGTAACAGCAAAAGCTTGGAAGCAGCCAAGTGCCCAACAACTGGAGACTGGATGAAGAAGATGTGGTTTTTTAATAAAATGGAGTACTACTCAGCCATAAAGAATGAAAAACTAGAGTCATTTATAGGTAAGTGGATGCATATTGAAGCCATCCTCTTAATTGAAATAAATAGGACACATGTGTAAATACTGAATAGTTTCTCTAGTGTGCGAAACTGAAAGTGTAATTTAGGATACACTGATGAAATGGCCTAATAACATATTTCTCGGATTGTGTTTCCATCGCATGTCCTATGACTGTACCGAAATTTAAATTAGGGAGATGCTTGGCTTATGTGGAGTCTGCTAACTGGAGTTTTTTTCCAGACCGCTATTTGTTCAGTGTTGGTTTTGGGGATCTTTCTGAAACAAGTCACATCTTCTGGTGTCTTGTTGGTGCTTGAGATGCTTTTTTAAGTCATATGGAAAAATGTTTAAGTGCTTTTCAGTTTTGTTTTGGTTGAGTTCTGCTGTATTTGAATATTACTGTAGTTTTTTTTCCCTTGCATTGTTCTTTTTTGAATGATTTTCGTTTTTGTATGTGTGTGTTTGATCATAAAGTTATAAAAAATGATGTTTCTTATACCAAAACCTGTCCCACATGTGATGGCCCTGAGAGCTCATCTTTGTCTGCTCTGGGCCCTGCCCCTGCCCGGGTCTGAACCGCCATGGGCGTCAGCACTGGCCCTCAGCCAGAAATAGGAGGAAAAGTGGCTTCAGAGGCTTTCAAGGTTCTCAGCACACAACAGAGGACAGCTTCTGAAGGGGCGAGGCTCCGCACTGCCACCACGGCCCAAGGGAAGGTGGCAGGGAGCGGGGCACCGAGTGACAGTGAGGGCCCCCTGCTCCCTGTCCCCAGTGGGGCTCTGTGCCCTCGGTCACGACAGTGGTGCCCAGGGTGGGACGTACACAGCATGGCCCCGCGGCTGTCCGTGCACTTGTGGGGTCTGCAGCTGGGGCAGTGATGAGCACAGTGCTGGGAACTGTCCACTGTGTCGCAGGGGACGATGTGAAGGCCAGGGCCTCGCTCCCCCTTCCCCCAGTGTGCTGTTCCCAGCCGCACGGTTTGTGGCAATCTGCTGCCCCGCCCCGGGAGGCGAACACGGTCTATGACCAGGTGCCCAGGGCCCAAGGGGCAAATGTCATCAGGAATTAGCCACTGGGTGCCACTGTCCCTCCCTCTTACCTGGTCACAGCTGGTCAGGGAACTGAGTTAGGAAAGAGCAAAGAGGACTAACTATGACAGTGACAGGGGCCTTGAGCCCAAAGTGTGTTTATGAGACGTGACCAAAACCTCGGGCGAGTGCTGCTGCCCAGCGCCATCCAGGAGAAAGGCAGCTCATAAAAACACTGCCTCTGCCACCTTAGTCCCTGCATCTGGCACCGTGTGACTTCCGGCTCTTCCCCAAAGTCCAAATGACCATGACGGGGAAACGTTTTGAATCCATTGAGGACATGGAGGCAGCCAGGACAGTGCAACTAAAGACACCCAGGAAAGGACTCCGGAGCTGCTGCAGGAAGTGGCCAGGACCACGGGAGGAGCGGGTGTGAAGCGAGGGGGAAGACTTTGAGGAGCGCTCACGGCCATGAGTCTTTACTGTGACGCACTTTATCAAACGTTCACCGTGAGTTCTGATCGGCCCCTGTAGCTCTCCCGCTATGCTGTGTGCCGCGCACAGCTGCAGGCTCAGGACGGTGTCAGGAGGTGGGCACCCTTGGGGGCCAGCGCTCTGCCCACATCAGGGACCGGAGACTGCTCCTCACTGCCATCCGGGCTGGGAGCCTGCTGCCCCCGCCCCATGCAGGGTCCCTGGCACGGAGGAGCCCAGCCTGTCCCCTCTGCACTGTCTCTGTGGCCGCTGCTCAGCTTGACCCAAGGGCCCGGCTCTGCCCCTTGGGTGGACCACACGCTGGCTCCGGGAGGCAGGGCCACACCGAGTGCGCCCAGGGTGGACCTCCACCTGCCCGCTCCACCAGGCCACGCGGCCCTTGCTGGTCATCACGGCGCAGGCATTTGGGCAGCGCCTTCTGACCCCTGGTAGAACCCTCCTTACAGTCTGTGGGGCTGCAGAGGGCAGGCGGCCCCCACACCCCCCACCAGTGGAGCCCCAGAGGCAGTGTCCACCGTCACACTGGGGACCTCGGCCCGTGCGTCCTGCGCTGGACGCCGGGGTTCACTGCACAGAGGCGAAGGC